TGTAACTTTTAGAGGCAAGCATTCCCAGTCGTGCAGGCAAGAAAAAAAAGCCTTGCAGGTCTGGAATTCTCAAGCAGCATCCTGATGAATTGTGACAATGTGTATTTACAGTAATAAAAGCGGCTGATGCTAAAAAAAACGTGTCATCTGTAAGCTAAATAACAGACACATCAGCTGCCCTTGGGGTTTTGCCTGCTTCTGGTAATAAAAGCAAATGGAACCCATGTTTCACAGAAAACTGTTGCATAATGTATCTGAAGAAGCGTAGGAAAATACATCGAAGCATCAAACATTTGTGCTGAAAACTGGCAAAAGACCAATTTGTGAAACAGTCACAGGAATTTTGTTTTCTGGAATAGTAAGTTAAACCTTACCAGTGAATGTTGTATTGAATTCTCCAGCTAAACCAAGACAATTCCTTGTTTTGGAACCTTGTAAATGTAGAATGTAAGAATCTCAGAATGTTGCAATCAAATAAAAGATAAGTGATCTCACAGGGAAACCTAAATGAAAGAGAAATTCTTGAAAAGCAGAATCAAAAGCAGATGAAGCAAGTCTTTTTTTTTAAATGGGCATGTTAACAGAGTTCAGCACAATAAAACATGCAATCTGCAAAGTTTGCAAAGGCCTTCTAAATTCTAGGCTGAACGCAAGTTCCGTCTGTAAAATATTACGCAAAGGATAGGTTGATTGGGATTCCTAACATGAAAATGACATTTCATTTTTTTTTCAGAAATCGACATTTTGTATGCAATATACAGTAGGTAAAATTCTATAAATCGACCTCATCTGTTTAAATCGCATGCAATTTGCTACTTGCTCTACCATAACTTTTGAGGAGAGCTCTCAAAAGTGCCAATTAATAGGAGTGAAAGTCGAAGGAGGAGAACGTTTCATTTCTTTCTACTCATGAGAGAAGCAGAGGCCTTTTAAGTGAATCGATATGCTATAATGTAAAGGGCTTTGTAATTATTTTAATAATTATTTCAGGATCCTACTTCCTAGAAAAATGGTCAAGCGGGGCAAATTCAATTCTCATGAGCACAATATGTTGACTCTGAAAAGGGCATTGTGAGATGTATCACCTTTTAAAAAAATCATTAAAATGAGTTAATGGCTGACATGCATTAAAATCTCCCATTGGAGGGAGTCAATTATACCGACATTTGCGTAGAGCATTACATATTCAGCTGAAAAATTGCAGAAAACTCTTCAAACATCCAATTTATTGCAGAAGTGGACTTTTTTCCCCAATTTAAAGAATGCAAAATCAAATGCTGCCCCCAATCATCAGTATGCTTCTATTCCCAAATCTCGTCACCCCCCCCCCTTAATCCAACACCATTTTTAAATATATGACCTTGTAGCTTGTGACATATTGTAATAGAAAACATAAATAAAATGTGGTTTAGATTTATAATGGCGGCAGTGATTTATTGTTGGATGCATGCATGTGCATGCTTTGTGCTTTCAGGCAAACATTTGAATCCATTAAGAAGATAGGAAAGGAACCAGCCTGGTCTTTATAGTTTCAGGTCATCGGTTTCTGTGGCCAGCTACTAATCATGCTATTACTTTTCACGGTGAAATGAAGCAGGCCAGCAGAGTTCCCAGGCCTTTTGAGAGGAAAGCTGTGATCCCACATGTTGAGGTATTTTTCCTTTTTGATGGATGCCTCATAGATTCAGCTGCAGCCTAGAGTTTTTTTTTAATACAGGCAGATGGTTCAAGTAGAGGGGTTTTGTGTCAGACAGCGAGGAGAAAAAAAAAGAAATCTCCAGGTAGCCACTGCCAAGAGGTGAGATATCTTCATGAGAGTAAAAAGTAAATTAGAAAGAAAGGTGCAGGAAGTTGTCAGTTAAGGCTTCCAAAATATGGGACATAGCTGCAGAGTGCTGTCTTACTTTAACAGGGTAATGTGGAGCAGGAGGGATCTCAGTGTTCTGCGAGTGTAATTCTCTATAGCCAATGAACTCAAAACACATAAATGTAATTGCTGCTTTGGTCCAGTTAAACATGTTTAAAGGTGTTATATCAGTACCGATTTCACAGATGACTTGGTTTCTTTGTAAATTACTCCAGGGAAGCAGTGGTTTGTGTGAATTTGGAGTTGCACTAGTTGCGTGTAAGCATTATGTTTAGCATTCTGAGCTAAGTCAACTGTTGGTTTGTTTCCCTCTCTGCAGTAAGTTGTTGATCAGGTGAGATGTGAAAGTGTTATCCTACCCTGTGTTGTACCACATCACGTCTCCTTATCCTTAAAGAATGTGTTTGGAAGGGAGCTGAAACGAATTGCCTGGCTTCTGACCTCAATCCCACTGCACATTTTTAAGAAATAAAATTAGATGTGTGGTTCACTTTGATGTGCAAGATGCCTTGGACAGGGTACAGCAGAAAAGGGCAGGTCCGTCATTAGTAGAATTTGAAAGCCAGGATTTTTACACTGAATGAGAGGCACAAATAAACTAAATAATTGTGTTTTGAGTTTCTGAAGTACTGACTGTAATGGTGAAATGTAAAATGTGTGTGCTGTTTAGTTTTTCTATTAAACAAAATCATCTTCAGACATAGTATAAAGTGTTTTTGTATTTCACTGTGTGTACTTGAAGGATAACAAGGCTTGCATGGAAGCTGAATTTTTTTGTAAAGAAAATATTAAGTGCATGAATAAATGTAGCATTTTTCGGTAACTAAAATGCTTTTATCTAGTGTTTTTTGTGTAAGCAATTTATGATTTCACTGTTTTCATATCTCACTTGTTTCGTATCTTTCAAAAAAACTGTATGATTGTTTATAGAAAGGGGAGCAGTGACTTGCTGCTCTTATTTTAACTGCTAAGAAGAATGTTTTTTAAAGTTCAAAGAGAACAACTAAAATATATTTTAACATCAAATATTTTGGATCTTGTCTGCTCCCACAGCATAACAGTCTCAGGTGTACGTATTGTCCTCTAATCATCACTGGCTTGCATTAATTAATTTGATTTCACTGAATTCAGTGGCCTCGTTAACAGATGTTTCATTTTCTAATAATCAACATGGCCGTATTTTGGTTGTTTAAAAGTTTAGGTACCATTGGTTTTGGGTTTGTGTTTAAATATAAGATTGATCCAAGAAGATTTTCTATCTTGACATTTGAAGTAGACATTTATTTTTAAACTCATAAAGAAGTAATTGTTTTTCTACTAATAACAAGAATTGTAGGAATATAATGGATTGCTGTTGTGATGGAATGGTTTTTGTTCTTTTGACCTTTGGTTCACCTGTTCTCTGTAGACTCCGATATGTCAAAGTGTCAGAAACAGCTGTGTTCCTTGATCAGTTTAATAGAGCTGATTCCTAGGGTTTCCATATCTCCAATTGACTTTGTTAATAATCCATCAACACCACTTTTCAGTTTGTGAAAACGATCCCTTGTATTTTGTGAATGACCATACTTTTCTACTGAAGAACTACTGGGTTCTGTGCCTGGTGTAGAATAAGAACAAGAGTCCCTAAATGGCCTATGTTTTGCTTCTGGAAAAAAAAGGAGCAATTAACAATAAAATAGATGATTAATAATGTAAGTCTTTCCCATCATACAACTTGAAAAGCTTTAGAAGATCAATTACATAATTGTCAAGATTGACAGTAAAATGTGCCGATTATTGAGCTTTGGCATATCCTGTTACACTTATCACTGTCAGGAAATGTGTTTGTGGTCCACTGTGGGTTTTGCTTTCATGCTGCAAAGCATTGTGGTTGTTTTATTTTTTATACATTACATACAGTGCTGGGTTTTAAATATCCATGGTATAAGTAGGTGTTGATTACAGGTACCTTCTGAAAGTATAGCAGTTTTTATTACCTGTACTGTCAACATAATGTTATAAAGTCTAGCAACAGCTCACTATTGTAGTAGTTTAACAGAGCAGTTCAGAAAATGCAAAGGGAAATTGTTTTCCTATTATTACAAATCTGTATTTTCAGCTGGCAAAATGCTGCTGCTGTTAAGAGAGTTGCAGAGTAATGTACTTTTAAACTAAATACACCCATTTATATCAGAGTGATAGACTTAATTGTAGAAGGTACATTTTTTTCTGTTAATGAAATTGCAATGATCTCATCTGTTTACATGGCTTGATAATGTGAATAGAACCTCATTTCACAAGACCAGAAACCCCGATTGATTGATTTAAAGCTCATCCAACTCTTAAATTGGTTGTTCATTAATCTGTGGACAGTAAGACAGCAGAAAAATATGGGCATTTTAACAAGATGCACATTTATGTTCCTCTCTAGCACTTAATGCATCGGGGTTTATATAAACGCATTCAGAATTAAAATGCTAAGATGGAGAAGAAAAGAAACATTTGCTGGAGTTATATCAACAACAGAGCCTTTATGATGACAGTTTTCATGGTACAATTAAGTCTCATTTTAGCTTAAATTTCTCTCAAGGTTATTACTACCGATAAAAGTCACATTTCTACTATTATTAGAAATCTACTGAATCTGTTGCATTGCTGTGTTTAGAATAATTAAGAGTTAAAGATTCATTGAAACATAAGATACATTCCATTTGAGTTAACTAAGGGTTCAAACAAATGGGAGCTTTTCTCCTTCCTTGGCTAGTTTTCACAATAAAATTGTATTCCTCTTGTAGCTCGGTGTAATTGTGGCAGAACCACAATAAAGACTGGGCCACGAATGTTGGCCACAAAACTTTTCCTTGTGCTTGGGAGGTAAGTTACATCAAACTGAGCATCGTGATGTTCTCGGCTGCTAATCTACTTTCTGTGCGATATTGAATAATATCTTGTACTTTGTCTAATCAGGCAGATCGGGGATGCATTACAGGGATTTTCCACACAAAAGACGAATTGAGGTCTCCAGCCTGAGCAGTAATTGCATTCTAAAGATTGCTTGTAACATGAGGGGAGTTATCTGAATGTTTAAAACCTGCACTTGTAAGTTATACCACCAGGCAATATTAGTGCTGGAGAAAAAATAACCACACCGTTTTTTTGTCCACTTTTATTCTGCAATATGACCAATATTTTTTTCTCATATTCAAGTGTGTATGAAAAGAAGTTAAGTCACTGATTTTTAAAAAGCTAAATACAATAAGCATTGGATCAAGGCACATACAAGACTGGCCAAAGGGCGTACAATGCACTTTGGTTTTCAGTTGTAAAGAACAATTACCTTTAAATTGTGGCAACAAAAAAGTGGCTTGATTTAAAAAATAAAATAATAAAAATAAAATAATGTAACAGCTGACACTTTTTATTCAAAAAAGCCAGAATGCATTTTTTTTACTTTTACCTTTTTTGCCCAGATATAGTACTGTAAAAAGTAAGGGCAACGTTTAACAATGACATATTTTACAATGCACTGAAGAACGTTGCTTTGAAGTTTCACCTTGTTGATGTTTCTTTCTTACACGAGGGTGTCAGACTGTTGTTTCTACAATTGCAGTATATTTTCCTCATGATCGTCTGTGCTTAATTTGCTCTGTACCGAAACCTTCTGGTGGTATGACAGTACGAGAACATGGTCTGTCTTCAGATTCTATAGTGGTGTGACACTTTTGCTTTTCAAAAGCAATAGTCATTTAAATTCACAATTCCTCTTCTCTCTCATGAAATTAAGCAGAAATGCCTGACATTTCCTTAAACGTAATTCAAATTCCTATAAAAAAGTTTTTCTTCAGAGAAGACTGGGTCTGTTGTCTGCTCATATTAAGAAGAAATTACCATGACATTGGCTCACAACACAATTTTTTTCTGTGGCCATTAGAAACCTTTTAACCTACAGCTTGTCATTGAATCTTTTTTTTAATAACTTCAATACCAACAAAGTGAAAAATGACCTGTGCTTATACTACTACAAGGTTTTTGAATATCTCTTTAAAAAGTCTTGATTGTTCAACACAGTAATAAAAACCCACTTTCACAGTTGACAAGTCATCATATTTCAGTAGAACACAAAAGTTTAATTGGTCTGAAACCTTAAGCAAAGAAAATACAGTACAAATTACTACAAATTTCTAAAATATAGAATTCCAATTAGTGATAAGACATACACTGACTGTTCAGTGATGACCTGCAATTTAAAACTTTTAATAAAAAGTTCTTAAATATAAATTATATGGCAAATGTACAGAACATTGCTTCATCAGTCTTTTAAATCCAGTGTTTTGCAAATGAAGACCAACCAGTTTTCAAGTCACATGTCTGTAATAGTCTTAAATATATATTCATTATCATGAGTGAGAATGGTCTGAATCTGGTATCCCACTGTCTCTGTAGCTTCTGTTGCTGCTGCTGTTTTCACTGTGATTGTTCTTATATAGGCTTAAACCATTAGGTGGGAATATGGTGTGTATTACAAACTCCTCCTTGGACACAGGGCCATGGTTTATAGGTATCATTTGAAAAGAGGTCTCTCTAATCTCCAAGATAGAGTTATCCTTCTTGGTTCCTGCCTCTGCATAATCATCCTTTCTTCTGCGACCCTTATTATAGGCACAGTTCCTTGAAAAGAGAGACCCATTCCTGTGGACATACCAGCAAACGAGAGCTAGCATTATGATTGCCAAAAGCGCCACAGCTCCCCCAATAATGGCTGCCAGTGGCAAACTTGAATTTTTGTAAGGTTCCTTCTCTTGCTCCCTGTTCAGGGTTGTTGTAGGGTTGTAGGTTTTAAGAGATCCTGTTTCAGTTTCTATGCAGACAGGAGTTTCATCTGACAAATAAATGTTACTGGTTTCCATGGGAACCAAGCATATCCGGTAAGAAGACTCTGGGTCAAGCGAGGTGACCAAATATTCAGTCTTCTCGCCTTGAACGATTGTCTCGGTTATTGACCCAAATGCAGGGCTGTGTCCCATTTTCAGCCAACTTAGTCGTAAGGCAGTCATTGGCTGTGCAACTTTCCAAGAGATGTGTATGGTCTCTGCGCTGATGGATTTCACACTTATAGTGATGATTTTCCGTGTAGAAGGGGTCGTACTCCTGTAGTTTTTGCTCAGGTCTGGTCCTTTCACTGCTGGCCTTTTGGTAACAGAAGAAGGCCACTGGCCTCTGGAAGGGGGTAAGGTGTTTGAAACAGAAGTGGTGGTCTCAAGGGTAGATGAGATGTCGGCCTCTGTACAGTCAAACAGATCTGGGGCCATGTCCTTTATAGCCATCCCTTTGACCTTGTCTGGCCCTTGGCACATCAGTCCTCGCACGTTGACTCGAGCTGGCAAGCTCCGAAGCCAGTCCCGCACCCATTTCATCCTGCAACCACAGTACCAAGGGTTGTTACGAAGTAACAGGTGCGTTAGGTTGTCCAGATCATCAAAGACTCCCATTGGTAAGCTACTCAAGTTGTTGCTGGATAAATCAAGACGATAAAGCTGTCGAAGGTAAGAAAACGCACCAGCTGGCACCCGATTGATGTGGTTTTCCTGGAGCTGCAGCTTTTCTAGATTCGTGCCCGGAAGGTTGGTGGGCGGAGCGGTGAGAGAGTTGCGAACCAGGGAAAGCTCTGTGAGATTAACAAGGTTCACAAATGCCATGTCTCCTATTCCATAGTTGTTTAAAAGGTTGCCATCTAAAACCAGGCGTTTCAAATTTGTAAGATCCCGCAAGGACAGCTCGGATATAGTGGAAATGCGGTTATCATCAAATCTGAGCTCTTCAATAGTCATTGGCAGGCCTGTAGGAATAGTGCTAAGGTGATTCCGTGACAGGAATAGTAGTCGTAGGTGGTTGCTGTCTCGAAATGCTCCTTCCTCTATACTGACAGCAGAAACGGAGTTATCATCCAAATGAAGCTCCTCTATGTAAGGAATCAGAGCCAGTGTATCGTGTGCGATAGTCCTGATGTTGTTCTCCTGCAAATGGAGCTCTTTCACGTATTTTGGCAAGTTGATAGGAAACTCATCCAAGTTGTTGCAATACAGATAGATCTTTTCCACTTTGTTCAATTTGCGCAGTTCTTTTGGTATGCCTGCATTGTTTATTCGGTTATTCTGCAGGTAGAGGACTGTGGCGTCCTCTGGAATCCCAGCGGGAATGGATGTCAGTCCTCGGTCATTGCAGTAAATGAAAGTTCCATCACAGCGGCACAATTTGGGGCAGGAAGCAGAGCTGACAGATGGACTTGTCAAGCCGAGAAATAGCCCTATTCTTGTTAGGAACAGAAGGAAGCTCTTGTACTTGCAGATCATTCTTAATGGTGACATTTTAAATGTGGGGCAGCAGTTTCTTTCTGAATACCTTGGGTAGAGAAAAACAGAAGAGGTTAATTCAAAGTATTTGGATAAAATATGCAGAACACTATTGACTACAACTTAGATGCAGAACACCATTGACTACAACCAAAATTATTTTGGGAGGCTTATTTGCGTAAAGTATTCTTTTCATGCAAAACTTTGTTTAAATCTGCGCTGTTGGATCCTTTGTAATAGTAACGGAGTACACTACAACTGAAAACAGACATTCAATTAATTTGTGACAGCCTGTTTTGATTGACAACAGCTATAAAACAAAACCTTTACATAAAACATTTCTTTCCAACAATGAATCCTTTAAAATTAGAAGTTTAAACTGCAGAGTAAGTAGTTCCAGAGTTCCTTTCAGCCTTGAATATAGATAAGAAATTCTTTATGCTGGAATCATTATGTTGAATCAAAGTCCTTTATTTAGTTTTCTGCTTGTAATGTAATATTTAGCTCTGAATGTTTAAAGGATTGTTCAAGCAAGGCAGCTTGTGTCACGGATTTATTTCACTATAGCTTTTAACAGCAGGCTAAGAGGTAAGGTAAAATGAACCCTGTCTCTTGGACTGGAATTAATTTAGAAACTTTTAATGTTTTGAATTAATTCCAATATTCACATTGTTTTTAAAATTTTCTTTGACATTGGTTTCTAAACAAAACTGGGAAGAATGCTTTTAAAGTCATTCTTTGTGTATTTAACAAAACAGACAGTTACTTAATTTGTCCATTGTATGTAAAGCTCTATAGTAAACTAGATAAGCAACATAGCCTATTCATTTAAATTGAGCTAATTGAGTCATGGTGATGAACATTGCCCTGAAATGCATAGGTTCATTAAATATGAGAGAAGACTTTATGAAATCCAGTTAAGAGTAATAAAGCAAAACTCTCAACTACCATGATCAAACATCGAACCATTTTTTCCTAGTATTATTAACCCATATTATAGTACAGGGGACAAGATAATAGATTGTTTAGCAATCATTAACACAGAATTCTTTGAAAATTAAATTAGTACAGTGGGTGTGTTAATTTTGTTTTCCATCAGAGCTACTAAATTATTGATTTTTTTTCTTGGGTATATGTACTGTTGATTGTTGTGAATATTTTTTAAGTTTTAAGTTTGAGAACCTACTGAGGATTTGCAAAGTGACAGGCTGATTTGTTTTTCCTTTTAATTAGACTAATACAGATTTATTACTACAATTATGCATTCCTGTCATGACCTCTTTTCTGGCAGATCTCATTATAAATTGTATTTAAGCCACTGAAGCATAAAAAGGCAAAGGCATCAATATTTGTCATACCTGATTTAAGAGAACCGGTAAATCCTGTACTTGCTGAAATCCAATGAAGATAAATTTAAGCTTTTAAGATGGGTGGGTAGGTGGAGGTTCTGGGAAGAGACTTTGTCAATATGGTCTGGTGTCTTTGGTTATTTCCTGTCCTCGCTGTGTTTGCTCAACTGATCCTTGTTTATATTGCCGACCTCCTGGCTTGTGGCACAGTTTTCAGTGATCATTCCTACAAAGGTTTTGCCATGGCAGATAAGCATATAAAGAGCACCACTGCTTGAAGACAAACCTTAAGCTTCCTGCTCTTGTGCAAAAATGCGATTCAGTTAATATTAAAAACCCTGTGCATGTAGGCTCCTTTTTTGTTGCAGCTAACAGCCGTAACCCAAATTAGACCCTTTGTATCTTTTAAAAGCTCCTTTCTGCAATGTGCGAGAGAATAGCAACTCCTTCTTCACCTCAGGGAAGCCATTCATGTTGCTGAGGCCTGACCGCTGGTGTCTTCTCCAGAGGAGCAGCCAGTTTTTGGTTTGGTTTTATCCAACTGTAAACCTAGCAGGGTGGGCAGATGAATCTAGCCCTCAATTACTGAATCCCCTCTGTTGGTGATTGCCAAATGTCCCCGTCTCTTTCTTCACTCCAAGTCGCAATTTCCAGGGTGTGTTTTGTGGCAAACATTTATACTGCACATCTCCACTTGCTCAAACTCCTTGGTCATGAGGCAGATTTTGGTTCTGCAACTGCTTTTGTCTCCTCAAACGAAAAATCCTGAAGTCTCTGACCGCGTTGTGATCCTCCTTGTCATAGTGAAGAAAATCAACTTCTCTCGCGTTTCAGCCTTCGCTGATCTCTGAAAGAACGAATTTGTAAGATTCACAAAGTTAGACAGTTAGTCCTGACTGAATTTACTTTGATATAATTAGAAGTGAATATATAATTCTTTGCAACAATTTCTGTTGACAAGTACAGCTGAAGGTTAATAAACATTTGAGCTCTAACATCATTTCTATGTAAATATCTTAAATGTTCATCTTTAAATAACCAAGTAGGGTTGATTTTTGCAGGACTGTGGACCAAACAGGAAATCAGTGCTCCAGTGTATGGTTTTCCCCCACTGTTACTTCATCATCCTTGCTGTATTTATTTACAAGTGATTTTGAGATGTACCCTTTCTTTTCTAAAAATAACTTTTGGAGTTCTTAAAAAGTCAAAATGTGCTTTTTATTCTACCATAAAACTAATGTTTTATGCATTCATATCTATTTTATAGTCAGTTTACTGTGTATATGTGCATATTCATCACTCGAAAGACAGGGGGCAAATCAAATGAGAAAACAACAGACTTAAAAAACGAATTCAAAAAGAGCACATCTCGTCTGGTTTTCACTTAGGAGCTGTTGGAGAGACGCTTGCCTAGACCATCAGGATCCCACAGTACACACCGTTAGCGATGATCTAAAATGGAAATGCTTGACCCTGGAATTGGGAGTGCTGCAAACTCACTTTTGCCTCACCATAGTAATTACACTGCAGCCTGCAAGGAGGGCCATCCATCCTCAAAATCAAACCAATCCAGACTTAAAGAGATTTAAACTACCGCTAGTGAGTATTCATCCTGATTAACACTGCAAAACAAAGGGACCTGATCCACAAGAAATTGTAGTGAATGTTTTCTGTGTTCTAAATGTTCAAATCATTGCTTGCCCCCTCGAAGGATTTGCTTTTTAAAATGAGGTAGTATTGCTCCAGGTTCTCTGTTCAGAAACATTTTATATGAAAATTAGGAAGAGATGAAAAAAATATGGTAGCTTCAAAGGTAGCATAATAGAACTGATACGAGGAATGTAATGTTTCTTTGAAATTAGGGTTGGATTATACGAATACATTGAGAACTGCTAACGCGTCCTTACAAGGGAATCAACATTCCAGAATTAAGACTTATGTTAAACACAGTGCAATGGATAAGATTTTTACATGCAAAATATATTTTGCATCACAAATTTGAGTTATTTTTTACTTTAAGAAATTTGCAAATCTGAATTAGCATTGATCCTCTACATGTTTTCCCCTTCCTATATTTTTAGTGATTCTATGGATTTAACATCTCAAAGATCGCCAAGTTATGCATTACAAAATCCTTCATTTCAAAGAGAGGAGCTACTGCACATGATGCATTTTCAAAACACAGTTGGAGCTAATTGTATTTGATTAATTCCATTTAGATTTGATATCGGCTAGTTTTTAGTTTTTTGTTATGCAAACACTTTTTCTCTAGTATTGCAACAGTAGCTTCATAAAAAATCCCCTTTTAAGCAAAATCCCCCAAAGCTTATTACATCTTTGTGTACGAAAGATTTTTTTTCCCTTTTTCTGAATTGCACCCAGATAAAAAGACTGACAGGGTCTCTTTGATAGTGGACACCATTTCTGGGACCTGGATTAGCAAGACAGTTGTGGATTTTTATAAAACCTTTTCCCTCAGCCCCAGGTCTGTAATTGTGTGTGCATTGCCCTGCCCTCCTTCTTATTTTCTATGGTGATGGCAGAGAAGAATGTCTTTGCATTTCAAAAGCTACAGTGATCCAGTCCAATACATCAGAGGCTGGGGAGGGAGTCCTGGTGCCTTGCTCAGTCTCTGTTGCGCTTCATTCACTGGGCAACGTTTTGCAAGGCTGCCTTGATTCTGAGGCAGAGATGATAAAAAAAAAAATAACGGGGGGAAAAAATTCTCCATCCTTCACTCCCACATCCCCACTGACATAGTCTCCTTAACCAGGCCTCTCGGCTATATCATGTTGAGCAGGCTGGTCGGGCCTGGGGCTCACGATGAGCTTATTAATTATAAACTAAATACTGCTGAAAATTTAAAGTGAAGATAAAATTGCATATTTGGATGTTTATTAATATGGAAAGACATCCATCTCACCTCATGTCACCTTTCCTTTCAATATTTAGTATTCTTACTCTTGTGTACACATTTTGTTTGCAGTTCTCCCTCTTAGTAAAATAATGCCAAGGGATGATGTACAGATAATGTACAAATAACCTTGAATTTAAACGGCACATAGCTTTTCTGTTTTTTACTATTATATTTGTCGGTTAAAACAATGTCTGTTAAATGTTAAGATTTAGTAGTGTGACAACGGATTGAGAGACTTGCAATTTCTTTATTGTGCGGAATAATGCTACCGTTGGCTACCTTGGCGCACAAATACAGCCATGTGATTATTATATTTGTAGAGTCTGAACAAGAACAACAGATGCAGATGTCGTCTGTTATTTTATATCTGTTAGCGTGTATGAAGGAGACCTTTCTTAAGCTGACACTTTATATGATATTAAAAACGGAAAAGCTGTTTTAGTAAAGGAATAATTACTTTTCATTTAAATAGAGTCTAATGTAAGAAAGACATTTGCTATACTTACAAATAGGGCATCCTGATCAGAAAATTTTATTTGTAGCATATCTGATTTAACAGAAAAATATAGTAAAGAGAATATACATGACCTGACTCTTATAGACATCATAATGGCAGGGCTCCCATATTGTTTTATTTGACTGAATTTTAACTTTTCCGGTAGTGTCATTTTTGCCGATCTACCATAAAAAATAATAAAAAATAAAATTTTATATCACACCTCTGAGGATGCTGTTGTGCCTCTGGCTGTTTTAGAAAGCTCCCGACCCTACTCCCTACTTTTTATAGACTATTGTCTATGTTTTTATCTTTGCTTCTTTTCAGCTGCACATCACTCTATAATATGCTTTACATATTACAGGGTATTTTAAGATCCCACTCACTAAAAAAACTATACATCAGTAAAACATTTTTTTTTTAAATTAGGTGTCACTACTTTGTAGTCAATATTAAAAAAATGGGTTTGTAAAATAAAAACTGCTGGGATGACTGATTTTAAACTTACTTTTTGAAAGACAAACTGAAGTTTGTTAAATAGGATTTAAGGTCCAGATTATGTAGTGGTAGATTGTATTTATTTTGATTGGCTTGAATGTAGGGAATCTGTTTTGGGGAGAAGAGCTAAGTAAAACTATGTATTTTTTTAAATTAAAAGCTGCTAACTAGCAGTGCTGTTAATACAGAGAATAGCCAAGTAGCAAGACTTGGCTAATTAGTCTGTCATGATGCTTGACTTCACTTTTCCATAGTAACAGAGAAACAGCAAGGTGCTAAAATGCTTTTCAGTTTTCAAAATGCAATTAATTGCTTTGTGTTTATTAAAATATGATTACTTGCCTTTCTGAGGCCAGGGTAGAATGGTGGAGGATTTGTATTCTGCTGTCACTCTACTGCCTTTGTGAGAAATGATAAACTACATGTACAGAAATTCACTGACAGACTACTTAAATGACATTATAAACTGATCCAAGAGTTCACTTTAGAAGAGCTTTTTTTTCAGACTCTCATAAAGAATGAATATGTAACACTCAAAGACCAAAATGTAAGTTAAAGTACAGGCCATCTTAGTTAAGAAAACTATATGTTGAAAAGGTTTATCTACACGACAGTTGTACATAAAAATGTGTAAGACAGTGAGAATATATGAGAAATCGGATGATTAAAACTGTTCATTTCTGCTGCAAAATAGTTAATATAATATAATATATAGTTAATTTAAAGGAAGCGAATACTAGTTAAATACTGGTTGGAGAAAATACAGCTGTTGCAAACAATTAACATCAGAAAGCTGTGTTAGCCATTTTGCTTTGTTAATTATTGCGATTAGTTGTGAAAAATATTGTACTTGATTCCGAGCATATTGCAATTACTATGCATTACACCCTCTTCTTTTGAGAATGCACCTAAATGATTTCCCTAAAAACAGATGATGTTTATGTAAAAAACCTTCTTTTTTTCCCCCAGGATGGACTTTCCTTAGAAATTTTACAGGATCAGCTAGTGACAGATTTTGCTTTTGCTTCAATTTGCAAAAACAGATTGTGGCTGTAGCATTGCGTGGATAGGTTAATGAACTTGTGAGGGATGTGTCTGTATTTGTGCGTGGTTGTCTTGAGTGTTAAACAGTTTTCTTAACTAGTCAAGACCCGGTGGCTTCATGTTGAGATCAGGCCTGGCTGGATGGCTGCTTTTTTTTTTTGTACGATCATCGGATTTCACAAAAGCGACCCTCGTCCATTGTATAATACCAAGCACGCAGAAGGACCTCTGAATCTGCCTACTGGGGGTTTGGGAAGGTTTTTCAAAATTTTAAGTATGCTTTTATACCCCGTATCAGTAGTTTTCTATTTGGAAAGCCTTTTTGTTTCTTCATGGCTTTGGTAGGAAATGCACGCTAGAACTACAATTCAAAAGCGCTGCTGGTCAAGCTCAGAGGTTTCTAATGGGAGTACATGTTTGTGCTTCATTTATTTCTCCGTGGAAAGTTAAATTGAGTATTCTTAAAACAAAAAAATGTATGGTGTGACTTTTCCCGTCCTTAAAAGTCAGTAGACTTATTTTAAAAGAACTGATGGATGTGTCGTGAAAAAAAACTGCTTTTTCCTGGAGATAACTTGTCTCGATCAAATACGCTAAAACAAAGACAAGCTTTGTCAAGCTTGCAAAAGCAAGTCTTTTTTATACCTTGTTGAGCTTATATACAATTTTACTTGGGAAATTCCTTGACAAATTCTGGACACTTCAACCAAAAGCTATAGCAAGAGACTTTGCTTACATTAAAGTCAGCTGAGGCATGGATTTCAAACAATGGTGACATACTTTTCTGTTTTCATTACTGGTATCTACAGCTAATCCTTTTCAAAGCCTTTAGTTTTGGTATGTATCAACGAGTGGGGAGGTTACATTTGAGTATCAAAGGCAAAGCTTTGTGTTCTAGTCTTTAGTCGGGAGAAGTTTAGTTTAGGCCTGTTTTTTTTTTCCTCCTCTGGATATGCATTTTTTGCATTTCAGAGTTCTGATATAGAATTGTGGAATATATTATATAAATATCTAAGGACTCTTAACTTTTAGATTTAGAAGTTTGGCCTAATCTACATTCAAAATTGCTGCAGTGTGTTAAATAGATTAATCTTGTTTTTTGTTTAGTCTTTCTGGTAAAGTGGCATTCTCTTTAGAAGGGCTAAAAGGAGCTAGTCTGTAGCTGTGTAGTTTTTCCCCACTTGGGGGTGTTAAGCACTGCAAGAAGCCAGATTTCAGTATTACAGGTCACACGTTTACTGCTGGTGTCCACTTTTCTCGCCTTTAATTACGACAAAACCTCCTGCTGAGCAGAACAGCACAGGCCTCAGGACAAGAAAAGAGTGGATTGTAAGAAAATTGATTTACTTTCCCATGCTAACATGCATGTGTTGACTTCAGGAATTAGTGATGTTTTGTCTTTTTGCATGTCAACAGAATTAATTTGTGTCTAGATGTGTATCTTTTTTTTCCTTCCTGTCAATATTTTGGAAGATTTTTTTATTTGTTCTACACAGAGCCCTCTGATAAATAACTAAAGCGATCTATTTGCACTTTCTAAAATCGGCTTTCATGGCTTGGATCAAAGGGTTTTAAATAGAAATGAAACTTGGAACCTGAATATTGTTGACATCAATATGGAGACTGAAAGGATATTTCTTGGAAAGCATACACAATCAGTTTTCTTTTTATCTCCATTGCAGAAAAAATGGCCATTTGAGGTTGTATGCCTTAGGCATTTGACACTGTGCACAATGGGAGTTCCTCAAATTTGCAGAGGGAAAATCAGAAAATATAATTACCTATTACCGTTTGCCTAAACACATCTTATGGAAATGTCCTTTGCTCTTTGTGTTTTTTTGTGAAAAGGGGACAATTTATATGTAATAAAATGTGATGTTAATTGTGATAAAATAACTAGTTCCTTGAGGAAAAACGGAACTCAAGATAGTTTGTTTTTAATAGCTGTGTTTTTTAGGGCTGTGGATTCAATTTGAAAAGACTTGGCTAGAACACGATTAACACCTTTTCGGAAAACAGTGGGTGTCTTCCTCTAATCATTTTCTGGAATACACAAATGTTTTAAACGAGTTTTTGGCCCTACTGTAATGCAAAAAAAGAGACTATGCAATACACAGAGTCGTGTAAACTGTGATTATCAAGAAAATGCATGGTTCTCACTCATGCAATTGGAGAATAAAGCATCTGATCAGCTTTATTAACAGAAAGCTTGAAATCCAATTAGTCCTGGAGTTCTATGCCAGTACACATCCTTCTGACTGATACAGTATGGACATAACAGGTTTAGAATTACGCCAACTGAATCTGTTTTAATATAGAAGTATAAACTGATATAATCTTCTCTACCAGATTGGATAGAAGCTTTGGCTTTGCTGATGGAATCCTGTAGAAATAAACAGATCTGTATCTTTAAGGAGCAATACTTGTAGCACCCACACTAGCACTGCACTAATGAAAGCTTACATATTATTCAAATCTGTAACAGAGACTTGGAGAGGGACTCTAAATTATATGCTTTGAGAATCTTTTTAGGTCCTTTATCCAATTCATGTAGCATGAGCTAGTGTTTATGACTGCAATTTGAGGTTATTATTTCTCATATACAAGATACTGTTTATTTTGGCTCAGAAGTACTTTCTGCTTGCATAGTTTATGTCTGTAGGTAGACAATGAAACCCTGCTGTGAGCTCTCTGTAGCTACAAGTAACTGACAAGTTCAGATTAAAACAAAGCTGAATCAGGTATTTACTGTTATGTGCAATCAGTTAAAATCAGTAATGTTATGAAACACTTTTATTAGGAAGATTGAAGGCACAAGGTGTAGAGTGTAAGATCTCTTTTCTTGTCTCATTGAAAAGAGAACTCAGAATATGAGATGTTAGTCTGGTGGTGTTGCTCTGTATGGTAATTATCATGCCAGTCACATAGTCTGTGTACCAGAGCTATGAATTTTGAGTTTTCACAAAAAGCTTTAAGGCTTATATATTTTGATTTTAAAATAAAAAATAATTGATATTCACAGCTAGTGAGGTATGTAAAATTTGATTGTAGAATTGAAAGTTGTTTTTGAATAAGTCACTATGAACAGCAGTTACTGCTGCTGTGGATGTGAGAGTAGGCTTTGCTTGTAGTGAAAGAATGGCAGTTTGTGTGAGAAATGCATCATGCAGCTTTGAGCCTCCTGTATATGCTCCATGTAATGAGTGTACATATGATGTAGACTCATTGATCTCCTCTCAGGGAGGAGAAATTAACTAGTAAAAGGATGGTACTACGTAGAAGAAAGATTATACTGCCACCACCTATCTGTGAAATTTCACAAATCCTGAAGAAACTGACCATGAGAAAAATACTCCTTTTAAGATAAAAATGACTGACTTCCTTCCCTACTGCTAATTGCAGTTAGTACTTACAGCTAGGGCAATATGCAACATTTACTTCACTTAAGTGGAATGAGTATATTGCTGGATCTCAAGCTCCATAGCCAATGCTTCAGATATGTTTGAATCTTACTAGATTAGGTCACATAATTTCATTGAATACATTGGTTACAGATATTAAAGCAAGATTCCTGTACTGTATAGGTAACTTGAAATAAAGAGTTGCGTGTTACTGTTCCTAGATGAATCAATAGCCGATTCAATAGTGGTCATACCCATCAGCAGCAATTTTCTTAAGGATGCCTTAAAGATGAAGTAGTAAAAAAGGAAACTGCATCCCTTAAAAAGAGAAAAAAATACTGCTTTAAAAAGAGAAAACAAAAAAAAACACTTACCTGATGAATCAAGACAAATAAATTAAAATCCTGTTTATGACAGCCACATGAATAATTCCAATAAATGGGTATCAGCTGTAATAAATAGCCCTCAAGTCTTCAACTCCAAAAGCACAAAACAGAAAGCACCAGCTAGTAGATGATAGTAATGTTTTTTTTCTGTAAAAGTAGTAATAGTATGTGGGTCCGCACACTCCGCTAGCACTCAGAAAGACTGGGAGAGAGGAGCAAATCACTTGCACAGAGCCCACCACAAGTCTGGAGTTAAAGCTGCCTCTAGCTGTGCTTCAATAGAATGGTGATGTCATTAGTGGGAAGGGCTTTCTTTTCTCCCTCTCTCCTTCACACAACACTCCCCCTCTCTCCATCAAAGAGCTAGATTCTGGCTCTGGAGGAGAAGCAGCAGTACTCACTGTCAACACCAGAGGGAGCACAAGAAAGCGAGTTGACTGCTTCCACAACAGGATTTATCATCATCTCACTGGTTAAAAAGGTGCTGTTTGGATCCATAATGAAGGCAGAGAAGTGTGTGATTGTGCTTCAGTCTTGCACACCTGAGGCCTGCGCTCTTTGCTGCGCATGGTTTTACTCCACATACTGTAGTTGTTTCCTTTAACGTAAATGGACAAACAAAATCTTTAAAACTGTTTTTAGAGAAACTATTTGAGTATTTAGCTTCATTAGGAGTCATTTGAATTTGCCAAAGCACAGCTCCAGTGATTTAATTGTACTATGTCCCTGGTGCCTGTCTTAAAAATGGAAATGGAAATTAAAGCTAGTGATGTACAGCTAGCAGTCTCATAGTCTTGTTCTGCAGGCAGTTTTGATTTCCACTGTATTACAGAAAACATCCTTCACTTTACCTTTGTCTTGTTCATGCTCAGCACATTGAAGGGGCTCATAACCGTATTTCCGCAGAGGGCAAAAAGTAACAGCAGCAGAAAAACATGACCCTCTATATTACATGTGCTATGATCTTCCATTCAACTCTTTATTTTGCAAACTGTTTCTTTTAAAACTAGTCACCCCTCGCCAGTTCTGTCTCCCTGATGTATTTTGGTAATTGGTTCCTTATTAGCCTCATTCTTTTAATCTCCCATCCAGTGCCCTCCATCTATAAGGAATGGGGACCTCATAGGATTTACCCCCATAAAGCAAAAGCCTTGAACCACTAGATAAGAGCAGTTGTGTTCTCAGTTGTTCATTGAATACGCATTAGTAGAGAACGAGGTCGTTTCCTTTTTTCGGGTTGTAGTGCTTTGCTTGTGAGTTTCTCATAGCCCCCCAGTGTGAAAACTGTACTTGCTGTTTACAATGGGGGAAAAAAGCACAAATCAAGCTGGAAACAAAGCAACTTGTACTATAGAGGTATGCTTGTTTTTTTTTTAAATAAAATATAAGATCTTTCACTTCAATTTCTTCGGCTTCATCAGTAGGCACAGTTACTTTTCTAATTTGGGACTTGTATCTACAATGTTTTAAAATTACATACAATAATGGGTTGCATTTTTTCGGTTTTATGGAGAAAGTCTTCATAATTCACATGCTGTGAAATTCCATTTATCAACCAGAATTCCTAGATTATTTTTTATTAAATTGTAAAAATAGGAGAACAATTTGTGGGAGCACAATACAAAACAAGTTTACGAAAATGTGCTTAAGCATGAGATTTCTGGTGAGAAAAGGTGTGAAATTAATGCAGTTCGACGGAATTTGAACACATTTCCTTCAGGGCACAGCCCCATTTCTGACCCTCCCAGCTTCCGTCTTCAAATTTAACAGTAGTTTGTCTGTCAGCGTGTCATGATTGACCTGTCCCCTCTTACAAAAAGGCTCAGTGGCCATTGAAAAAGACTGCAGTGTCCGGTTTCTGTTATCTTAAGATTGTGGAGGTCTGCTGCGGGGATCATCTGTTGTTTGTGGCTGGTTCTTGTCTTTCCCAAAGATGCAATTTATATTATCTGACCTATCTCAAAAGTGTTTTGACAACAGAGATGTCTTTGAAGACTTTAAATGAGTTTTTTTTCTTTTGTGGTTGTACCAGGGGAAGGAGAGCATAGCTTTAGTTTATTAAAACACTTGATTTTGTTAAGTGTGAACATGAATCCCCCCCCCTTCCTACTCCCCCACAAGCCTGTCACAGCGAAGATCATGTGGAAAACTGCATCTATGCCTCAGAATCTTAGACACTTAAAGCCATATTCTGGGAACAATTTAACCTTTGAATGCCTGCCAAAAGGGAAAAACTAAATGTTAGGTTAAACTCTTTTTATCCCTTTATCTTTCTGTTTCTAAATAATTAAGGTCAAATTTGAAGGAAATGTACACTTGCGTTGTTAGCCTTACATAAGCTTGATGGCAAGATCCTTCCCATCATGTTATAAACCTTTACCCTGTGTTGGTAACAAGGAAACATGTTTGTAGTTGGTATTCTGAGACATCTGCCCACTGGGCTTATAACACAAAAACATTTAATTGACCAGAGACATCTCCCTCATTTCTTTATTTCTTGCAGGTTAGAATTGTGTGTGGAAAGAAGTGACAATACAGGTGAACGAGGAGCAGGACAGGCATGTCTAGATACTGTGCTATCAGCTCTGAGGTACTCAAAGGAGAGGAAGACGCATAGAAAATAGTCTGAAAGAGGCAGTGCGAATAATGCAACACAGGAATATTACAGATGTTTCATGCTGAGAGAATGCTTCCTGTCCAGGGCCTCTGGAAAGACGGTGGTGCCAGTTGACTTAGAAATACATTTTTCTTTTTACCAGGAGTATATTTGCTCCTTCTTCATTTGTTTTTTAACTGATTCATTAGCTCTAATAAGTTAATAGTGTTTCCATTATTATATTTCTTTAACTTGTTATACATTTTATGCATAACTTGGTCTTGTTTATAGCCAGAAATGTAAGACTTAATTCTGTGGGGTTTTTTTTAAATATTGCTCGATTTCAAAGTACAGTAGATTCTTTAAGAACACAAGACCTTGGGAGAGGTTACAAAAAAGAGGCAGCAATTTGGCTCATCTGGCTCAACCTCTAGCTAGTAGGAAAAATCTGAAAATCTCATGTATTTCTTGGAAGAAGCCAAGGTATCAGGTTTTGCAACATGGCTGGGTAGTTTGTTTCTGACTCCCACAGCCCCTTGCATAATAAAATGCCTCCTGTTGTCAGTTTTAGAGGCACTTCCCTGCAGTTTGAATCTGGTTTGTGTTTAACGTTTGATTCTGAAGAAATACATTTGGTTAACTTTGCCGTTGATTTTGAGTGAATTTTAGAATGTATGGTAATGTATCTGGTTGGCTTTTACTGGACTGAATATAGAGCAGCAATGTGTCTTTTTAAACCCATGTTGCAAAATTCCTCATGGTATCACCGAATCCAGTAAATTTTATGCTGCTGGCTACTCAGGCTCATGTGTTGAATTTCACACAGACCTTGTGAGTGTAGCGCAACTGGATAGAAGCCAACGTTGTATGTACTCTGTTAGTCAGAGAGCATAAAGTAAACATAAAGTAACATAAAGTGATGTGTACTTTAAAGCAGCTATTTCATGTCTTGTGCAGGTCAACAGAGAGTTCTGTGACGGACACAATATGGTGATGGGCAATCATTTGTGAATCTTAACATATTTAGTCCATCACCTGATGCTCCTCTTAATACAAATTCCATCTGTTGCCTGTTAACCCTTTTCAGGATTTAGGAGTTCCTTTGGGACTGTGCAGTTGGAGAATTAGTGGGTCTTCTCAAGGGATTTGCACAATAAAAAAAACATTGGGGTAGCCTGGGAACTCTGGTCGAAGTTATTTTTGTTGTCTGCTTGTGTGTTTATATAAGAGAAGCCACACAAATAGCTATGTCAGCTGTTTTTCCTTCTTGTTTTTTAGTCTGTTTATTTAGTTTAGGTTTGTCCTCTCTTGTCTCTCCTGACCACAGCAAAGGGGGCTTCCTTGTCAATTGTGAGGTACCCCATTGATTTAATCACACCTAGATCCTCTTCCCTGGGGCTGATGATCATGGAAACAAAGGCTGCTGATCAGATTAGATCAACATGCTCACTGAGTGGCCCAGAAAAGGGAAAAGGGTAGATCAGCATACAATGCCTTGATATTTCACTGTTCCCCCCCTCGTTACGTTTTTTCTGTTAATTGATTTAGTGTTTCTATGCTAAATACTTTCACAGCTAGACCCAGGACTACTTTATTATCTTGGTGCCTGTTAATCATATTGTAGCATTTATCGTTTTCCCTATGGAGTGGATACTTGCTTTGGAAATTAAATGCAGAAAAGGCTTTTGTTAGAGAAAAGTGTTGTAATTATTCAAGGACTGATGATGGTATGCTAAACTGGGTATTCTTTTGGATGAACAAACAAGTCCCAAGTCTGTTGGACCTATTTTTTTTTAACATCAAAGGTTTGTCCCTTTATGTTTTTCCTGCAAAGAGAAATTAAGTTTTAATGAAATCAAACCAGCCCCCCAAAAATGAAGCATAACGTTTAACAGATTAATATTTGAAGAACAAAATTTGTCCCAGTTGACATGACATGCAAGAACAAAAACTGTTTCCGTGTTTAGGCTTAACAAAAAAAATGTTATAGGAGCAGTGTTTGGAGAATATCGATGCTACATGGGTAATGATACCGATACTATAGCAGCAAGACTACCAAAGGGATTAAATGCTGATTACTGGGTTGGTTGTAACTAAACAAAAATATATATTTTTAAATGTTTTTGAAATAGGCCTCCTAATTTATTTTTTGAAGTACTACAATAATGAATTGAAATAATTACTACCATGTAACTAAATGTATACTATACACTATATTATGTTAACACAATGTATTGTGGAATTTTTTTTTATAAATGATTGACACTGAGGATCTCTAGTTTGACAGCTGCATCCTGGTCTAAAAGATGCTACTACAAGAAGGTGGCATTCAATGAAGCAGAATGTTATTTCAGCTCTTAGAAGCTTAGAAAGGTTGGTCCTGATTGTTTCTGGACCTCCATCGAAACCCAGGTTGCATTTGTGAGTGATGTTGATGGTCTAGTAAGTGGCACAGTCCCCAGAAGTCATTTGGAGTTGTGGTTCCTGTGATGGCGGCAGGTGAAAAAGGGTGGTCTGAATTTGATTTTTTGGTTTAACAGAAGTCATATCTCAGCTTATAGAAATCCTATTGTTGCTGCCCTGCCTAAAAATACAGAGTTAATTATCCAGTCTTTTTCCATAGGAACACTTTGCAATATAGGATACACATTGGCGAGAACAGAAGG